CCTGGTGGTCAGTGCGCTCCCACAGGGGGAGCTCTGCTCAGCCGCAAGCCAGGCTGATGGCTGCCAGCACAGCGGTGGTGGCGGGAGCCTCTCCCGCCTCCTCAGCAGCGCTAAGGATGTTTGACTGCAGCTTAGGCCTACCCCCACTGGAAAGTGGACATCCCCCAAGGGCTCCCAGGCTGCCAGAGGGATGTTTGATTGCCAGCTTAGGCCCGATCCCCCGGGGATCACGCCTAAGCCAGCAGGTGGACATCCCCTGAGGGGTCCCAGACTGCGAGAGGGCACAGGCAGCGCTAAGGGACCCCCCTGAGTGCACAAATTTTTGTGCACTGAGCCTCTAGTTGTTTTCATAAGAGAAAAGCTTTATTTGAAAAAGCACCGGAAAAATGCACACAAATGGAAACCACCCATAGCGCTGCCATGTTGCTTGAATCCTGTGAAGGAAGACGTGAGGGTCTCGCCTCATCCATCCAGTCCCGGCCACAGAGGTGTAACCGTATGTGTCGCTTAGACACAGGTTCCCTGAGTTGAAGCAGACATATTTGCAGACTCACAGAGTTGCATAGCGCTGCACACACTGCTCTGCAGCACTTACACATGCTGCCTTTTAATATAACAGCAACACATTTCCAGGTCAGAAAACACGACCTTCCTTATTCTGAGTGCTGCCCGGTATACCTTTACCTCATATACCTGCTATTTCATACCCAGTATGGTTGGCCCGTAATTACTTTGGCCTGCCCCCCTCAGTGAATACTTTCTATGGCCGTTTTACTCATTTGCAGTGAGAGATGTCATGCCATGAAATGAACAAGAACCTGTGAGACCCACCAGAGCACTGGGTCACATGGCCAGTCAGTTCTTTCTCCCTAGAGGCGGACCCACGTGATACACCACATTCTAAAACAACAGTGAGACGAGACCAGCACTCACTGTGGGCTGGGCACTTTGCTCAGCATTTTACATATAATTTCTACTTGAATTCTTGCCAAACTCTTGGAAGTCAGTAAATTAACTTTATTATTTGTCTCTGAGGAAACAGAAGCACAGAGAGGTTAAGCTACCCCTCAAAGCCCACACAGCTAAATGGAGAGAACAGGACTTGAACCCAGACTGCAAAAAAGATGAAAAAGACAGTATTTCAATAATCTGTTGCCACTGGTCACAATAATAATGTTTGCCTTGTCGACTCAACGTTTATTTTCTGCTGGGTGTCTGTTATCTTGGGATGACTCCTAGGAGGTATAGGTACTATGATTGTCTCCATATTTTGGATTAGAGGCAAAGAGAGATGAAGTGTCTTAGCCAAACTTACACGGTTAATTGGGGGCAAAACAAGGGATTTGAAGCAGGTCTGTCTGCTCCAGGGTTGGTGACGAACAGAGAGGAAGTCCATTCTGGCACAGAACATGCCCAGGGAGGCGCAGGGAGGCACAGGGAGGCGCAGGGAGGCGCAGGGAGGCGCAGAGAGGACCAGGGCTACAGCAGGTGGGCGCTGAAGGCCCGTGAGAACATGGACCTAACAGGCATTTCCTCCAACCCCACTGTTGTCTTCTGACCTGATGCCAGGAGCTCTGGGAGTGGCCCACTGCATAGGGCATCCTGAGGAAGAGCTGCCTGGCAGGCCCTGTTTGCCCTGGCTGGAGCCCAGCGAGGGGCAGTGGAAGGGAGGGGTTCTGAGTGGGTGGCTATGTAGGGGTGCCCTTCTGCAGGCCAGGCTGGGGTCCTTGGTTTGGGGGGCTGTGCAGCAGGATGGGACTATGTCCAAGGCAGAGGGGTTCTGATGTCCTGCAATCATGAGAATAACATCAGACACATCCTTAGCGAGGGAACCTGCAGGAGCCTGGGCAGTCTTCTAAGCAAGGCTGCGGGCGGTGGCACCTTAAAGGCCCACTGAGGCAGGTGCACGGCTGTGGAGGTCAGGGCGGGGTGTCACGGTAAAGTGGGCATCACACACTATCAGAAGAGGATGCCATGGTAAGTTCCCTGTGCGTGCCCAGAATGACCAGATTGTCGGAATTTTTTTTTTCCAAGAACAAAATCTGCATTTTTCAGTGAAGTCTCATTTTGAAATGGCAGCAGCTAATTAAAAAAAACCTCTAAGCCACTTTACAGGCTGCAAAACAAGCCAGGCCTCTGGGGGTGAGGCCAGTTGGTTTTTTAAAAATTGTGGTAGCCCGACCAGCATGGCTCAGTGGTTGAGCCTCAGCCTATGAACCACGAGGTCACAGTTTAATTCCTGGTCAGGACACATACCCAGGTTGTGGGCTCGAAGCAGCTGATCAATGATTCTCTCTCATCATTGATGTTTCTCTCTCTCTCTCTCCCTCTCCCTTCCTCTCTGAAATCAATTAAAATGTTGTTTTTTTAAAAAAATTGTGGTAAAATACACATAATACACTATTGATCATTTTAACCATTGATAAGTGTATAGTTCAGGGGTATTAAGTATATTCACAACGTTGTGTAATCATCACCACTGTCTATGTTCAGAACATATTCATTGTGTGAAACAGAAGCTCTGCACCCATTGAACAGGAACTCTCCCCCTGCCCCCTGCCAAGTCCCAGGTAGCCTGTATTCTTTCTGTGTCTGTGTATTGGTCCGTTTTGCGCACCTCATGTAAGTGGGACCGTGCATATCTGGCCTTTTGTGTCTGGCTTATTTCACTGAGCATAATGTTTCAAGGTCTATCGGTGTGGTAGCCCGTGTCATAATTTCCTTCCCTTTTAAGGCTGAATAATATTCCATTGTACGGTCGACCACATCCTGTTTAACCATCCATCTGCCGATGGGCACCTGGCCCTTGGCACCCAGTGGGCCTCTGCTTTCTTGGAAGGTGCTCTCCTGCCCTGGCCACCGCTTACATGGTGACTCTGACTTCGGTGATTTTCATTGTCGTCGTGTCGGCAAATAGCTGAGTGCTGGGGCACGCAAAGAGGTAGACAACCTCTGAGGATGTTCCGGACAATGGGGAGACAGTGAGAGTGGTGGTGGGGTACCCAGGGTGCTCTTGAGCCCTGCGGGGACAAACGTGGTCTAACCTGAGACCACAGCTGGGTCTTCAAGGATGAGCCACTGAGATGCCTCCCACCTTTATTAACTTGGCAGAGGAGTCTGAAGCCACGTAAGGGTGGTGGGATAAGGAGTGCTGGCTCTAAAGCCAGGCTGCCTGGGCTCCAATGGGGCTTCTCTACCCACTACCTGTGTGTTCTGGGGCCAGTGCCTTGACCTCTCTGTGCCTGAGTATCCTCACCTGTCAGATGGTGGTGATGAGCGGACCTGTGGCCTAGGGTTGTCATGTGGATTCACCAAGTCTGTACCTGCGAGGTGCTTTGAGTGATGTCACATGTGGCAAGCGCTGGTAGGCAACAGCTGTTATTTTGGGGGGAGGGGGGAGAATGGCGCCCGAAGAGGCTAGGACAGAGGCAGGCGCCAGGTTGGGTGGGGCCCTCATGGCCACTGGGGGAGCTTGGATGGTATCTGAAGGCACTGGGAAGGGCTTGAGGAGACGTGCATGCACCTTCGTGATGGCCGTGACCCCAGAAAGATCCTGCCTATGTGGGCCCTCCCTCCAGCTTCCCAGGAAGCCGCTCATTGTCTTTCTGCTCAATGGCCTGGAGCATCTCTCCCTGAAAGCATCTCCTTCATTACTGGATGTGCCCGTAGCTCCTTAGGACGGTGACAGCTGTCCACTGCATGCCTTGGGATGGCCCTCTTCCTTTTCAGGCCTTCCTTTCCCCATCCGATGGTGCTGGGCTGGTCATTTCTAAGGGAACCCTCAAGCAGCGGTGCACTAGAATCTATGACTGTTGGTGGGTGGAGTTTATTTACACACGCCCACCAGACAAGGAGGGAAGGGTGACATTTAGGGAGAGGGGCTCCCTCCCATTTCTCTCGGGTCCGTAGACTCGGCATATTCCAAATGCTTATTAGTTTGTAGAATTTGTTTCCCATTCTCATAAACCCATTTAATAATCTTCAGAGCCAGTGTTCCACAAAACACCCTGGAAACACTGGTGGAAATGATTTGTTTGAACCAAAAGCTGCCCAACGGCCAATGTAGGTGGTCAGTAAAAGAAATCTATTATTTGCAAATGCAGAGTTTTGTTTGGCCTGGCTTCTTGGCCCCAAAGTGGGGAGCTAGTGCTGTGCTTCAGGGAAGGCGTTTACTATTGAGCAAAACCGCTCATCAGCTGCTGCAGTGAGCCGTGTGGGATCCAGGCTGACTGTTGACTGAACGGTGGAGGGTGGGATCCTATGTTTCCATTCTCTCCGGTGACTCATAAGCCAGGACATCTTAGGACAGACGGTGTGAGCCACCTGTGTTCTCAGACAACCAGGAAGGGTTGTCTGGGACAGCCAGTGGTCTGCAGGGGGCATCTTGGACTTAGTCTTTGGTGGAACAAAGCATAGAGTAAAGTATAATGTGTAACAATACTACTTTTATTTTGAAAGAATAAAAGATATACATGCATTCAGATGTGGAGAAATAGATAATGGTGAGGGGATAGGCAGTTTTCCCCCCTTATTTTTTTATTGCCACCCAGTTTTCTTTCTTTTTTTAACATATTTTTTATTGATTTCAGAGAGAGTAAGGGAGAGGGAGAGAGAGAAACATCAGTGATGATAGAGAATTATTGATTGGCTGCCTACTGCACATCCCCTACTGGGGATCAAGCCTGCAACCAGGGCATGCGCCCTTGATTGGAATCGAACCTGGGACCCTTCAGTCTGCAGGCTGACGCTCTATCCACTGAGCCAAACCGGCTAGGCTGTCGCCCAGTTTTCTATTGTCACCCTGGGTTTTCTTTGCAAAAAGAAAAATACATATAAGACAAGAAAAATACATATGTGTACATCTGTACATCCGTTCACAAACACACGTACGCCGTACTGAAATGATATCATACAAAAACCGAGATAAAGAGGCTTGGGTGAGTTTTTGCCTTTGGTTTCTAATAGTTCCTTCAGAGTCTGTCATCCTTGGATTTTTCCAGATGGGCAGCAGATCTGGGAGATGGAGGCCACCGTGGATAAAGACAAGAGCCAGCCTGTAAGCACCGGGCGAGAGGACCGAATGCCCTGACCGTGTCCTGCCCACCTCCCTCGGGTCCACTTTCCTCCCTTTTCCTTTCCTGCACCAAAGTCCCAGGGCTTTGGACCTAACCGCCACGCAGTAGGTATTGAATTGACGAGTTAACTAAACGTTCCATGAGTACCAGGCCGCTGATTTGTAACGGTGACATCTTACTATTCTTCGATAGAGTAAGTGGCAGTTCTTTCTTTGCCGAGGCTGACAAGTCAAATTCCCCTTAAATAGCATTTCACCTGTAAACGTATGGCACGTGTCATGACTCCAGGGAGATGGGCTGGCTCCACGCACTTGGGGCCTTGGATGGGAATTTGGATGTTGCCGCCGTGAAGTTAATGACAACCCCTTCCTTCCAGAACATGCTTTTTGTGGAGATCCCCGAGTACCGGAACAAGCACGTCCGCACGTCGGTGAAGGTGAACTTCTACGTCATCAACGGGAAGAGAAAACGAAGTCAGCCTCAGCACTTTACCTACCACCCAGGTGGGAGCCTCCCCTGCGGGGAGGCAGCGTGAGGTGTGGGTGAGGACCCTGGTGTCTGCTGCCAGCTGGGGGGCCTCGGGCTGGTGGTGCAACCAGCCCGGTTTCCTCACCTAGCAAACGGCGCCTTCCTTAGAGAGTTACAGGAGTCAGGTGCACAGGAAGTGCTCAGCACAGCAAACTGGCAACAGCGATGTGAGCTGTTGGTGTTGTTAGTACATATTTCCCTTTGGGAGGGCAGGATGGGAGAGGCCTGTGAGGGCTTGCTCAGCACAAGGTTGAAAAGCTGGCGACTCCTGTCCCTGCCGTAGATTTGATCATGATAGGGGTAGAGGTGACTGTGCCCTAAAACCTATGGAATCTCTCGTTGACCCCACTGTGGGTGCTAATCCTGTGGCCAGGTGGAGTTCCTGGGTGGATAACCAGTCCAGGAGGTCTCATTCCCACAAAGTCGTCCCAGGAGGGGTGACAAGTGCCATTGTTCATTCATTCGTCCAGAAAATATCTGAGGGCAGGTACTGTTCTGAGCTTGACACACAGCAGTGAACACACAGATAAAAAGCCTTGCCCTCGAGGAGCTGATGCCCTAACAGAGGGGACTCAGATGGAAGTGATATTGATATTATTGACACATCAGTTAGGAGGGGCCTGCAGAAACAGGCTCAAAGCTTCCCAAAGCTTGAGACAGGCCCCCTAGGCACCTTCCCAGAATGGGAAACCTATCATCTAGACCAGCGGTCGCCAACCTTTCAGACCTCATGGACCACCAGTGTCCGTGGACCACTGGTTGGAGACCACTGATCTAGACTGTCACCCAGGGTGTAATTTCTGTCCTGTGACAGTTTCCCAGGGAGGCTCTGGGTTGCTGGAAGCATGAACCCGAGGGCTGGTGCTGAGGGCTTGGCCTTGGACGGGGGCGGGGGGCTTTGGCGAGGTGCGTCCACGGGTTTGTGGGGCCCCAGCCCAGGACTGGCGTGACATGCCGTGAGTGGCGATGTCCTAATGGGACCTAGGATGGTGGAGATGGTCCCTGGGAGGGCTGTAGACTGCATCACCACCATCCTGCTCACGTAGAGGTTTCCAGTTATGTTTTATGAGTTCTCACCTCTCATGTGTGGAGGTGAGGCCGCCCTGGGCCTGGTTGGCGCACACCTGTCTGAGCGTGGTCCCAGTGAGAACTTGGTCCCCAGGCGGGCCAGGATTGAGATGGTGGCCTTTGAATGGCATCTTGAGGAATGGTTTCTGTGGTTGGTGTCAGAGCTGTTTGCTTTAAGGGCTGAACCCCCTTGCCTCCTCCAACCCCCAACATGGGGGAGGGGGCCCCACTTTGATTACTGTCCTGTCACCAGTTCATTTTCTCCAGTGCTAAGAAAGCTGATTCCTCAGCTCTGGGGCTGATGTCGGAGAAGGACACATTCTGGTGATGCTTCTAGATGGGGAGAGAGGGACAGTAACCACAGCACCACTATCAGCAGCAGCAATAACAATAATGATAGTAACAACAGCAGGCATGGAGCACTTACTGTATTCCAGTCCCTGTGCTGAGTACGTTGCACACACAGCTCATTTAATCCTCTCAGTAACCCCACCAGGTAAGTGCCTGTGGCTGCCAAGTAACAGATGGGGAAACTGAGGCCCAAGCCAGCAGGTCTCATTCCCCCAAAACACTGTTGAGCTAAGGAGGCCGACAGTCACTGTTTGGTCATTTCTTGTTCAGAAAATATCTGAGTGTCAGTTAAGTTCCAGGTAGTGTCTTAGGTGCTAGGGACCCAGCATTGAACAAAACAGACAACTCTCCTCTCCACCCGCCACCCGCCCCCCCTAAAAAATCTCCTTTTGAGGAGCTGACCATGCAGTGGGGGTGTTCAGATAAATAAGCACATCTATAGGATATGTCAGTATTCTGATGAGTGATGAGTATTATGAAGGACAGCAAGAAGGGAAGGGGCGGGAACTGGTAGGCAGAGGGAGGAGGGGCAGCATTCTTTTAAACCAAACATTCTCCTTTGAGCTCTGCTCCTGGGGAAAAAGGCTGCAGACATCCCAGGATGAGCCCCCTGCTATTCACAGACCACCTTTCCACCACTGGAAAGACCTGTGGTTCCAAATCATCGCCCGGGGTTAGTTTTCTGACCTAAGACGGTTGTACAGGGAGCCTCTTGCCTGAGGCTAACAAATGTCAGAGCCCAACTATTTCACCCACTCATTCAGACTCCCAAGGCCATGTGCCCGACCTCTGTCCACTGATCCTCTGTGCACACCTGCGGCTTACTAAGAATGGTGCACCCCGTGTGCTTTTCTCACAGTCCCAGCCATCAAGACAGAGCCCACGGATGAATATGACCCCACCTTGATCTGCAGTCCCGCCCACGGGGGCCTGGGGAGCCAGCCTTACTACCCACAGCACCCCAGGGTGGCCGAGTCCCCCTCCTGCCTCGTGGCCACCATGGCTCCCTGCCAGCAATTCCGCTCGGGGCTCTCGTCCCCCGATGCCCGCTACCAGCAGCAGAACCCAGCGGCTGTCCTGTACCAACGGAGCAAGAGCCTGAGCCCCAGCCTGCTGGGCTACCAGCAGCCAGCCCTCATGGCCACACCCCTGTCCCTCGATGCCCACCGCTCTGTGCTGGTGCATGCCGGCTCCCAGGGCCAAAGCCCGGCCCTGCTGCACTCCTCTCCCGCCAACCAGCAGGCCTCGCCGGTGATCCACTACTCACCTACCAACCAGCAGCTGCGCTGCGGGAGCAACCAGGAGTTCCAGCACATCATGTACTGCGAGAATTTCGCACCCGGCACAGCCAGGCCCGGCCCACCCCCCGTCAGTCAAGGTCAGAGGCTGAGCCCGGGGTCCTACCCCACGGTCATTCAGCAGCAGAATGCCACAAGCCAAAGAGCCGCCAAAAACGGACCCCCGGTCAGTGACCAAAAGGAAGTATTACCTGCAGGAGTGACAATTAAACAGGAACAGAACTTGGATCAGACCTACTTGGATGACGGTAAGATGCTCGTTTTCCTTATTGCCCCTGAGGACGGTGCCCGAGCGTCCCCCAGTTCACCTATGGCCTGAGTATCTTCCTTTACCCCTGGGGCCTGGTGTCCCTTCTGAAACTTAAGGGATTGGATAAGATGGCCCTTATGCCTCACCTAAGCCTCTGCATGAATCATTTCCAGCAGGACTTTCGGGGGGGGGGGTGTTAGGGGTTTTAGATCCCCCCCCCACCCCCAACCATCCTACGAGAAAGAGCAAATGTTCTGGCTGCAGGAGTATCCCGGGGCCATGAACTGGGCCAGTTTAACTGCTTCCACTCACTTTCCATTTGCCAAATTTAGACCAAGGGTAGGAAACAGAAAGGAAGGAAAGCTAACCTCTTATTCCTGTAGAGGAAAAAACCCCGCTTTATAACCCTCTTTTGTGTATTTGGGGGGGGGGGCAGAGAAAAGAAAGGAGAAGTTCACTGACAAGTGGCCTTCAAGAGGAGGGAGCATGAATGGGGGGCTTGCGGGCAGGCCGCGGGCATCTGTGCCCCGTGCTGGTGGAACAGAGAAGCGCATTGATGGGAGGGGAGCAGTGCGCTTCCGTTGTGGTCGGGCCAAGGACAAGTGCAGAGGCGGCTTTGTATGAGCCTGTAGGTGCCCGAGCACATTGGCGGGGGCCCAGCTGGAGAGGATCAAGTTGGAGTGGCTGTGTACGTGACACGGTCTGTGACACTCACCGGGGACCAGCCAGGTGCCCCTGAAGGACGGAGAGGGCGGGGCAGGCAGAGCAGCCTTCCCCTGGGGACCCCAGAAACGGGAAAACGGGTGGTTTGGGTTTCTTAATGGGAGAAGGAAAACCAGCCTCACACTTTAGAGATAGTAGCATCTGATACACCCAAGACCTCAATTATTTAGGAAAATTGACTCTCAGAAATCAAGCTGAGGAGTAGGAAGTAAGGCAGGAAGTTCTAAGTGGCCGCGGGAGTTATTGTAGAGACCAGGCACAAAATATCAGACGCGTGAGTGCAGGAATTTTTGGGTGCTTACGAGAGACTGACTTTTACTTTATGCAAAGTTTTGGTGATCTGGGTTATCTGGGGTGGTTTCCATGTCTTCTCTCTAGTAAAACTACCCATCAAAAACTCCCCCCAGATGCTTCAAGCAAAGAGCTCTAGGGCCACTTAGAATGTGTAGGGCCGGTCTGCACCACGTGCTGACCTCCAGGTCTTGCTGCATTAATCATTGATCCGTCTAATCCGGAATAATCAAGCACAGGTTGAGTTAGGGGCACTGGGCTCGGTTTTGAAGGGCAGATCCACGTGCGATGCATTCTCGAACAGTGCACACCCAAGATGGCTACGATAAACTCCTGGTTCATCTAATTTCAAAGGCGATGCTCATGTAGAAAGTGCAGATGATACAAACGCCCATGGCGAGCGGATAAGGGAAATGCGGCTGTAACCAGACCTCTCCCCACGTGCAGGTCGGGGGGGTTGGGGGGAATGTATCAGGGCTGAGGCGCTTTATAAATAAATGAGTGCCTGAACAGGGCGGGTAACTTTCCCCAGCTGACTCTGTCCGGCGTTGGCTCAGTGTCCGGACCGAGACATGTGCCGGCCCCTCCCACCCTGTCTGTCACCCCACATCACAGACAAAAAGTGAGCGGCTTGGGCAGGAGCAGGAGTGAGTCCGTCTGTCCCTGGCTCTCCGTGACCCACCGATATCCACGGGGCCTGAGGTGGTCAGAAGTCACCTTTGCGCGTCCGTTAGAGCCTCAGACCTCAGCGGAGCTCCCCGTTTTCCCAGAAGCCTATGCTGTAGAGAAAGCGGCTGAGAAGGGACGCCTCCTCGGGCCTCCCAGGGGTCTTCATGGACACAGGCAGGTTCAGGGTCACGGTGAGAGGGGGCTCTGGCAGGCCGGCGGCACGGTCCGCCCAAGCACGTCTCGGAGAGCTGAGTGTGGTGAAATCGCTTCCCCTGATGGAGCCTTTGCCTGAGCGCGTTCTGCACAGCCCGGCTCCGGGGGGTTGGAGGAGGCATCCTCTGACGCGAGGGCTCCACAGCTCTTTTATTTTTAGTTTGAATTTTATAATTTAGTGACAGTTGACATTGGATATTGTTTTGTGTGAGGTTCAGGTGTACAGCATAGTGGTCAGACAGTCCTGCGCTTTTCATAGTGATCTCCCCAATATTTCAAGTACCCCCAGGCACCATACACAATTATTACAGTACTAGAGGCCCGGCACACGAAAATTCACGCAAGGGTAGGCCTTTGCATCCCCGGCCCTGGCTGCAGCCCCGGCCCCGCCCCCCACCTTGGCCTGGGGCTACCCACATACCCTGCCACACACCCCTGGTTCTCCAGAGCCCCCCGATCGATCACCCCGCCTGCTGATGGCCTGGGCCTCCCTCTTTGGGGCAATCATGGAGCCTCCCCCCTATCAATCCACCCACCAATTGATGGCCTGGGCCTCCCTCTGCAGGGCGATCACGAGGTGATGGTGGCTCCCGACCAATCACATCGCACCCACCTTGGCTGGTCTGGCTCCAGTGCGTGTCATAGCATGGTCATCCGGATGGTCGTTCTGTTGTTCGGCCATTCGGTCAATTTGCATGTTACACTTTTATTGTTATAGATTGCTGACTGTATTCCCTATGCTGTACTTTAAAAGCTAAAAAACTCTTCCAAACCAAGTTTTAAAAAAACTCATACTGCGGGACTTGTCAGAGCCTTTACTGCGCTAGTGGACGTTATAAATCTCTGAAGTACGGGGACGTGGCACTTTCCAGATGGTCGACCACAGAGAAGAGAGCATAGGACTCCAGGAGTCCTGCTCCCAGCATGCCAGACCCCGTGTGGATGGAGTCCTGGCGTTGTGCCCCACGCAGGCCTGGGGCAGCCCCTCCCCCCACATCTGGGAGAAAGGACCTGAAGGAACGTCAGAGTTTAACGCCCAGAATTGCCCAGCCCATATGCCATATGCAGGCTTCTCAGTTCTAGGGCTTCACATCCTCCAAAGGGCAGCAGTGTGGCTGCTGGTTAGATGTTCAGTGCTTGACCAGCATTGTCCCCAAGGCTCTGTCCACGCAGGACCCTCCATGGGGGAGGGAGGGTTCCCATGTGGCTGGTTGTACCCAGTGGTAAGCCCTAACTGCACCACCCTGTAGCCACCAGGCAGAGGTAGGTGCAGTCTTGCCTCCTAATTGCTGGACCATCAGATCCCTCTCACAGGCCTGGCAGCCGCGGAACATTCTCAGATCCCACTGCTGGCTGTGTGGGAGGGGACTCAGACTGCTCAGTTTGTTGTTTTGTGTTTATTGCTTACAGGTGAACTGAAATTCCTGGCTCATTTCTCTAGTCTGGTTGGGAGACAGCTAGGTTTTCCAGGTCCCTTTCTGTCCTTGTCATTGGTTGCTCCAAAGGGATCGTCCCCCAAAATATGTACCTGGCTGCACCAGCTCCCGCACAACGCGCTTCCAGCTTGTTGGTAGTTCTCAGGGGCCGTTGCCTCAGGGTTTTGGCAGAATAGACTCTCCTTGGAAACTTGGTGAGAGCTGGGATTCATGTTTCGAGGGTCCAGGGATGGTTCCACAGATGGTAAAGGAAGAGGTCACCAGCGGAGGGGGCCAAATGAAAACTGGTAATGTAGACGTTGACCACGCCCCTGGCTGCGAGCCCAGGAAGCCCGGAGTTTGGTTATCTTTTCCTGGCCCTTTGCTCACGGTCCAGAGTCTGGGCCGGGTGTCCACCTGGCTGCCCTGTGTCCGTCTGCTTTTCATCTCTCTCTCCTCTCCCCGACTGCATTCCTGTGCACAGACGCTGTCTGTCTGGGCTCCGCTTTTTCTTGGAACTCCAAAATGCCACTTCTACTTTCTGCACTCCCAGGGCTGGAGGCGTTTTCAAGAACTAGTAAAATAAGTGATATTCCAGGGTAGCGTGGGTGCTCTCTCCCTCTCTCCTCTGCTCCTCTGCCCACTCCAACTCAGGCACCTTTGCTTGGTTCTGGAATGTGTGTTCCGTGCACACACTCGCTCTCTTCCCTGCTCTCATTCCTTCTGGAAGGAGTGCCTTCTTCTCAATGTAGCCGCTGGTTGCACCGGGGGAACACGAACAGCTCCTAGCCGTCACAGGATCCTGTGAATAGCTTCTTTCCTCAGCCCCTTCCTCCCTCCATCTCCTCCCTGTCCTTAGCCCCACCTCCTACCCCCTGCATCTCCCCCACACATATTTAGCCACTGGCTGCCTTCTCTGTGCCCTGCACTGTTCTGGAACTCAGGGATGCAATGGTGAACAAGTCAAGGGAAATTCTCGCTCTCACGGGGTATTTTTTTTTTGTTTTTGGTAGAGCATGTAAGGTGGTAACGAAGCATATTTCAGATGGCGATAGAAGTCGTGAGGGAAATTACGCAAGGCTAGCAGCTAGAGTGTGGCTGGATAGGGTGGTGCTGGCCCCTCAGTCCAAGTGCACAGCAAGGCCACTCTGAGGAGGTGTGCTTGGGGAAGATCGACGGAAGGGTGTTTTAGGGAGAGGGAACAGCCGCGGGGGAGGCTAGGAGGTCAGTGGAGTGTGCTAGCGTTGGCGGGTTTTGGGCTGCAGCCCCGTGTGATTTGATTTACCCTTTGTAAAGATCGCTCTGGCTGCATTTGGAAAATGGTCTCTAGGGAGGCAAGACTTGGGAAAGAAGGGATTTATTTCATTCTAAACTAAGCCAGGTGGGCAGCTTGAGTCCTGCCCGGGACTGTGCTGGAGGGCGGTGCATTCTACAAGGGGCAGTGCACCCTTTCACTAGCGTGGCCATTCCAGATGTCACTGCAGTTGCCACCGTGGGTCCACCCACAGGGAGTTCTTGCCACTGCTGTCACCCAGAACTAAGGGCAGCTGTGCCATTGACTGCCCAGGTGCCCCAATGGAGCAGGTAGGAGGGTTTGTGCTGTGCAGGGCCCTGGGGGACAGGGACCCAGTGGGACTCCTGCTGGTGCTGCTGGTGCCACACCCTCTAAAGAAGCAGGGTTCTCAGG